TCCTTGTCTGCAGGAGGCCCCACACTGGTCCAGTCAGCAGCCACAGCCTGGACAACCCAGCCCATGCTCCACCTCGAGACAGCAAAGGGTCAGCACCAGATGGGTGGGAGCAGCAGCAAAGGACCTCTTCATCCCTCCCACTGAAGTTCTCCAGCAAACAAGTGAGAACAGATGGGCACCAGCATCTTCAGAACTTCACCAAACCCACCTATTCCAGTCCAAACAGCAGCTCCTCAGCTAAGTGAGAACAGACAGGCACCAGCATCTTCAGAACTTCACCAAACCCACCTGTTCCAGTCCAAACAGCAGCTCCTCAGCTGGTTTTTGCCTCTAGCCCACATCGTACCTGTTGACAGCCTAATACATGATTTTTCATGATGAGGTGAGGTCAGAAAGTTCTGTAAGAGGGATTTTGCTTCCCCCTCAGCCCTGCTCCAACTTCCAAACTTTCCAACACGCTCAGAAGAGGATTTCTGTAGTGAAAAGGCTCTGTCCCCTCAGAATCTCTCTCATGAAATTTCTTGGGTGGCACAGCTGCCAGGAGTGGAGATTAGACCCAACAGTCTCCCCTTGGAAGCAAAGAGAGACACTTCCCAAGGTATTTGCAGTGGTGCCTTGTAAGAGAAATCAGAAGAAGAAATAGGGCAAGTGTTGGACTAAAAAAGACATGACAGTTCAAGTTTTCCCACTAGCACAGTCCCAGATCTGCCCTGTGAACTCAGGACACCTCCTCTGCACCACGAAACACAGACTGGGCATCACTTCAGCCCCTTCCTTGTGTTTACATGAATCATGGAATCCCAGACTGGTTTGGTTTGGAAGGGACCTTAAAGCTCCTCCAGTCCCAACCCCCCTGCCAGCAGCAGGGACACCTTCCACTAGACCAGGTTGCTCAAAGCCTCATCCAACCTGGCCTTCAACACTTCCAAACCTTCAGAACAACACCAAGAAGCAGACACCTTGCCCAGTTAAGCACGGTTGCCCCAGTAAATACAGGGTTCTCATGTATTTCTCACATCAAATACACGCCTCATTTTACACAAGAGCCTTCAGACCCTTCTCTGGAAGGAGCTGCGTGCAGGAGGTGCAGGGCTCACAAACCAGACCCCAGCCTCCAGCTGCTACGACTCCCTTTTAATCAAAAAACAAGCGTTCCCAAGATACCACTGCTCATTCCTTTGACATTCCACATTTATTGAGTTTGGCTGGATTAAAGGGTTAGTTGTATGGTACATGAATTCAATAAATATTTAAGAACTGGATGATGAAGCCCCATCGCATTAGAGCAGGGAGTTAAGTACATGGGTAAGTAAAAATTTATTATTTTTAAAAGATCAGATAACTAGCTGGGGTGGATAAATGCAACTCTTGAAAAAAAGATGGTGTGTGCACTTCAGAAGGCTTTTGGGCCAAGGACAGCAGGGAAGCCCATCACCACCAAACTGACTGATAAGTTAATACAGTTTTTAAGACAGAATAAAATATCCTGCAGCAGTTCTGCCATTTCCTGGTCTGAAATGAAAAGGAACATTTCCCAAGCGCAACACTCCGCCCTGTCAGGCTGGATGGAGAAGGTAACTCCTCAGGTAGCACCACACCTACCACCAGCCTGTTCCTTTAAAAAGCTTTTTGGAAAGGGAAGGGGGACAAGGAGAGTGAGAAATGGTGGGAGAAGGGTCTCACTGGCAGATGTGTGCACACTCCAGCTCTCCAGGGTTAACAGAAACCGCTCCTCAGCCGTGACAGACAGGATGGCAGGTGTGCAGCACGCCCAGCCTAGGGATGTTCTCCTGCTGTCCTATCACAGCGAAGGAAAAGCTATCAGTCAGCTCTGCTTCCTTCTCTGAAGACAAGAGTAACAGTCTTTAGTAAATGAAAAAACCTGCCTGAAGTCCCCAGGACAGATCTGAAGGTCTGTGGCACTAGCACTTGCCCTGTCTGCTCAAGAGAAGTCCTGCCTATGGGGTTCAATGTAAGACCATGCAGGAGCACTTAAGTTTTGAGGAAGCCCAGCTACTAAAGCAACATACAAACTCCTTACGCACCCTACCCATCCCTGTGCACCCCCTGCAGCTGGGTGGGGAAGCTACAAATACCCTACTGTCACCACCCCTCCTGCCACAGCTCCAGCAAGCCTCCACATCCTGGAGTTACACCAGATGCTTCCATCTCAGAAGGACTCCAGCCAGGTGGAATGGCTTTGCTGGCACTGCAGGGCAAATCCCTTAGGAGCCACACATCAGACACTCATCCCGGTTCTCCAAGGAGCAGACCATGGCTGCTTTATTCCTCTCCTTCTCTTCCTCTTCCTTGGAGGCCTTCTCCCGCTCTCTGAGTTTCTCCTTGTTCAGGGTGAACTGGATGGGGTTAGCAGCTGGTTTTGTCCGGAGATAGTACATGCCAGTCTTCAGACCCTGTGGAGTGAAAACAGGAGCCTAAGAGCTGGAATCAGGTGGAGGCCAGGTGAGCAATGCAGCCAAAGGGAACTGCTGAGGCCGACCATCCTGCTGTGCTGCCCTCACAGTGGTGTCTAGGAGTCAGGATTAACGGGAGCAATGCAACAAGCTTTATTGCTCAGGGGAGATATTCCACCAGTAAGACTGGATTCTTGGAAGGAAACAACTGTTTACCCTTCTAAGAATCAGCAAAGACCAACTTTTCATGCAGGAATTTATCAGCCCCCCAGTTGCTATCTGTCCTGAGCAGCCCCCACCCCTCCCAGGTACCTGCTTCCACCCATAGAAGTGCATGCTGGTGAGTTTGCCATAGTTGGGTTCCGCGATGTGGATGTTGAGAGACTGGCTCTGATCGATGAAAGCTCCTCTGTCTGCTGCCATCTTGAGGACAGTTTTCTGGGAGATCTCCCACACTGTCTTGTAAAGCTGCTTCAAGTCATCAGGAATCTCAGGTATGTTCTAAAAGGAAGGGGAAAAGTTTTCCAACGCCAAGAGTTTTCCAACGCCAAGAGTTTTCCAACTCAGTCTAACCAGCGACTGCCCAAATATTCGTATTTATAAAATCAATTTCTTCACCAATTTTGAGACTTGTGTGATCCTGACTAGAACTAAGGCTTGTTGCAGCTGAATTCTATCACTGAATCCAAGCATTCTGTATGGGAAAGCACCCAACCATAAAGAAACTTTACTCACTGAAAGAGGGCAGCTTATTGTGGGGAATTTGAGAGAAAAGGCTCTTTGTGTTTAACTGGCCATTACTGTTTTGTCTTAAATCACAGAATTGCCTAGACTGGAAAAAAACCTCTAAGATCATTGAGTCCAAATAGTTGGGAGGTCTCACAAAAACCAATCCAGCAGTTAGTACCCGCCCACAAATTCATGACAAGTGGGGTGCACTCCATTAATGTGGGTGACTCCGAGCACAACAGTCACAGCAGCATTTCCAACTCCACCACATCAATGATTCATCCCACACAGACGCTTCTCCATGGAACTTCTGGATCAGGATGTCCCATACCCAGCTCCTGTCTCAAGCCTACTCCCTGCTATCAATTACCCCTTTAGAATCTTTATCATAAATGGGAACCCAAACACTTGCAGAAGCAGCGCAGCCTGACTCAGTGTTTGCTCTGGCAATACTCAGCAGCACCTTCCCACTGGGCTGCTCCATGCCATGGGTGGGCTCCACTAATTGTCACTGCACTGAGCTCAGACACATCCCTCACATTTCTAACGGAGATGCTGCACACTACAGCTCTTCCTCCCCAGGTCAGCTGTGTCACTCATCTACAGGAGACCTGAAGAGCACTGGGGAGCAAGTCAGCCCCCCGGCCATCCAGCCAGCACTTCCCAGACTAGTAGGAACCCCTGCACTATTCTCCCTGGGCTTTCACACAGAGTCACAGAACTGCCTGGATTGGAAAAGCCCTTTCAGATCATCGAGTCCAACCATGAACCCAACACTGACAAGTCCCCTGTGACTAACCTATGTCCCTCAGCACTGTGTCTACACGACTCTTCAATCCCTCCAGGGATGGGGACTCCACCACTGCCCTGGGCAACCCCTTCCAATGCCTCAGAACCCTTGCAGCAAAGAAATTCTTCCTCACATCCCATCTCAACTGCCCTGGCCACAACTGGAGCCCATTTCCTCTTGTCCTGTCCCTTGGGCCTTGGTTGAACAGACCCACCCCCACCTCTCTCCACCCTCCTCCAAGGGACTTGCACAGAGCCACAAGGTCTCCCCTCAGCCTCCTTTTCTCCAGGCTCAACACCCCCAGTTCCCTCAGCCACAAGGGAACTCAGCACACTTGTGCTCCAGACCCTTCCCCAGCTCCGTTCCCTTCTCTGGACACGCTCCAGCACCTCCATGTCCTTCTTGGACTCAGGGGCCCAACACTGAACCCAAACCCGAACACGTACCTGGATAGAGCCGTTGTGGGCAATGATTTGGTTTTTCATCTCCTCATTCCACAGGCCTCTCTCTGTGAGATCTTTCAACAAGTGTGGATTCACAACCTGTAAGGGGCAAAGGCCAGAGAGTGAAAGCACTGTGTATTCTGCTAAACCAAACGCCCTGCCTGATGGCACAGGTACAGCTTCCTGCAGGAGGCAAATCCACCCAACGTGCACAGGATTCTAATGTACAGACCTTGTACAGTACCAACAAACTTGAACTCTTGGGTCAGCACTGAGGTGTGTATATTTTTCTGCATGCAGACAGCCAGACTAGGCACAAGGTTCAAACAACAGGGTAACAAACATGGGACACTGCTGGTCATGGCAGCACACAGGCCATCTGCAACCCCTGGCTGACACCAGCCGGGGGCTACACTCATAGGACAGGGAGGGGAGAAGTTACTGGACATCACAAATGTGAAAGTGGGGGTGTATGGAACTCCCCTGCACAAGGAACGCTGAAAGATGTGCGTTGGGAGTGGTGGTGAATGAGAAGCTGAACG